CTAACAGCTCTTTTTGCTTCCTTCCTCGCTAGCTTATATTTCTCCTTTTCCTTGCTCCTACACTTTTGTCATTCTTTATATAATATTTTCTTCTCTTTAATTGCCTTTGCACATCATCATTCCACCACCAACTCTCCTTACCATCTAATTTATAACATTTAGATTCTTCTAGTATATTTTTAGTCACCTTATTATTACAAAAAGACATACTATTTCACATAATATTAGTGTCATTATTCGTATTCCATATAGCTTCCTTCATTATTTTATTTTTAAAATGCATTAAAGTCTCTCCTTTTAAGTTCTACCATTTAGTTCTTAGTCTCTTATTCATATTAGTTTTTTTACTCCACTTGATAGATATGTCTAATATCATCAACCTATGTTGTGTAGTTAAACTCTCTCCCAATATAATTTTATAATCTTTACATGTTAACCTATCCACCCTTCTAATAAGAAAAAAGAATATTTAATTCATCTAAGCTCTCCCAAAATTCCCTTTTAGTACTCTCAAACAACTCTACTTCTGGTGCGTAGGCGCTAATAATATTAATAATTTTCACTCCTAAGACAGTTTTTTAAGTATTATTCTATCTGTAACTCTTTTTGCGTCTGCAACACTATCTTTTATGATGTTATCTACAATGACTCACACTCTGTTTCTATTCTTCTTTTTTCCCATATACCAAAGTTTATATCCAGTCTTTTCAATTTCTCTAGATTTTTCACTTAACTATTTAGTTTCTTCTAAACAAATTATACTTATCTTTCTTCTAAGCATGATATCTACTAATTCCATTGTCTTTCTGATAAATGTATCTATATTCTAAGTAGCTAACTTAATTTTATTCTCATGTAAAAGTCTCCTACTATTTCTCATCTTTTGTCATTCTACTTTATGTCTAATACTATTTGGCAACCTATTAGAGGATTGTAGAATCTTAGAACATTATGAATTACTTGTCATTACACCGGGGTGACATCGATGTTATGCATCGATTTTGGGGAACACCCTAGCAATCCACCCTTGCTTAAGTATCATTGCATCGGGGCGGTATTGATGCAATACGTCGCAATGGGAACGCCCCAACGAATATTTTATAGGATTCATTTTCATGTGGATCCGACTATGTTTTACGTTGGCTGTCGGTTGCGTACCCTCCTTTATCCTGGCTTGGGACAGGCAGTGCTGGTAATAAAATAAAGCAAAGCACTGGCGGAGTTCTATTCAAGCACATTGTCATACTAAAATCTAGCTGGTTCTTCTAAGATACAGTGACTGTGACTGCGCATCAGGATATCTATTCCAGAAGCTTTCATCCACATGCTAAGCTAAGGCAATTTTTCACAACTAAAACGTACACCAAATCGGATAAGATAAAATATTTGATCTATCGTGTAAAGAGACAAAAAATACTAAGGAAAAATCACAACAGGAAATTACCTCATAACAACGACGGATATGAAGTTTCCTCAAGTTTCTGCAACCCTGAGCTACAGCACATATTGCCTCATCATTTATGTTGGAGCAATCTACTAAATGAAGCGCTTGCAAAAGTGAGCAGTTTTTGCCAACTTCAAATAGAGCACTATTGCCAATCCTCTGACAGTATAGCAAAGCTAGCTCCAAGAGACCTCTATGGGGGGAAAAGACAATGGATCAATTGAAGGTCTTTTTTCCATCTAATGTGAAGCAAAACTAAAAACTATGCGAACTAAGCATTGAAATATTGGTTGATATGGATACATATTGGCTGTATTACATTGGAGTTTAAGCAAGTTTATGCCCTCCAACTGAAACTAATCAGCACCACTGACATTGGCTAATAATGGTCAACACAATAGATCTAGGGCATGAAATACCAAACAAATAGACAGTGTTATAGCAGTAAAACAACATTGAAAAGAGGAAGAAATCAATATACAAAGCAGCATCCACATTTACATTCCAAAATTAAAAAAAAAAATTCTTAAACCTCCAAAACCGACCTATAAATCACCGGCCTAAACCAACACCATGAATCTTGATATAAACAAATCTTTGTGAACTTTACGTTCTGTCCAGGACACCAAGTGGCAGCAGTCGCCCTAGGACTGAAGACTACTTTGAGGCTGATAGGTATTAGTTTATCCTGTTCTACTACTCTCTACCTATTTTCATTATCTTACTTTTTTTCCCCTTTGGTACTTTTTACCCTCCAATATTCCCTTCCTATCAAGCCAACGCATTAAAAATTTAAAATACACCTAAACTAGTGCCCAACTATTAGCAGAGCTGAATGTCAATCTTATATGCTTCTCACTCTGCTGTGACACCTCACTTATGGTGTCTGGGTTTCCTTTTAGTTTCGCTTTCTTTGAGCTAATTACCCCCTTTCACAAATAATGAACTTTTGAGGTTTTTCTATTTCTAATTACTGCCTTCCACAAATAATGGAAGCAAGTGACATCTCAAAATTGATCCTCACTTGTAGCCAGCCTCCTCATCCACATAGGGAAAAATAGAGCACCAGGTATTATAAACAAAGTGGACATGTGATCATTGAGCGTTATGGTTATGCTGCTGTAAGAAAAAAGACTCAATAAATAAAATGTTAATACTATTTCCACATTGATAGATTGTACTATGAATTTGCACAAGTAAATGTTTGTGTCAAAGGACCCTCGCACTACACCAAAACTCTGAACTCTGAAGTGTGGTGTGCGTTAAGGGATATAATTTTATATTCCACTCAGCATATTTTAGGTCAATATGCACAAATCATAATCTCTAAAGAAACAGAAATGATAAACATGCCCCTTGATATATTAAGACTATATCAGATCTGAATATGAGTTTAAGTTAGTAAATAATTACATACAAGCCTCAGACAAGTATTAACACTACGTTGGTGTTAGTTATCATGGTAAAAAAGAAAAGGTCGAAAACTCACGAGCAAGATTTTCCGATAGACTCAAGTCCCCATGTGCCAATGTTGTGGCAACCATTTATCTCTAGATGCGTCAACTTTGTACAGCCAGATGCAACAGCTTCAAGACTCTTGTCACTCAAGAAATAGCAATCGCTAAGAGTGAGATCCCTAAGCTTCTTGCATCCTTTTCCAATAGCTAAGAGGCTTCTGTAAGATTCAGATGAAGTCAATGAAGTAATTGTAGAATTTACATGAGAATATGCAGAAAAGGAGCCTGACTACTGTATATTACTAGTAGAGCGGCTGGTCAAAAGCAAATAAGATGTGCTCCCAATTATACTCTTCCACAGACACGTTAAAAAAAGAGGTTTCATGTTTGTAGGACCAGAGACGGACTGTTCAATCAACTTCAAAGTTTATGCTTTTTTCAAACATTGGAGCAACAAATCTGCTAAGCAAGCCAAGCCATCCCATTACAAGGTCATCATTGTGGGTATTGAAGATAGTTTATAATTTGAATGAGTGAATCAGTACAAGGAATCCACATGCTAAAGGGATTTTCATGAATGAACTGTATATG